TTTGTATCTCTGTAAAGATTCTGGAGGTATAGCCTCCCATATATCCTTGGTTTGCTTTCATAGCTCATGTACTCCATTGGACAGACTTGGATACTTAGTAAGCTGCGATTTTAGTTGATTTCGCAAATTTTCGAGATTCATATCCGCGGATTGTGGACGTCATTTCAAAATAGCAAATTTTTGCTTTTGCCTCCAATTTTTGCGAAAATATGCAGTATGTTTTGGGTGATTTTTCAGCAGAAACTCTCATTTTTCGACTACATCTTGTAAATTTTGCTGAAATATGAACAGATACTGTTCTTTACGCATAATACGTACTAACGGACCAACAATATTTTTGAAATACAACCCCAAACTATTATTGATCGACTACTGTGATTCACAGTTTGCCTTAAATGGTGCGCTTAGGCTTAATTTGGGTCATTGATCCAATACCATGCCCGGCCATTTAATTGAAAGCGACTAATTTAGTATTGTCAGACCAAATAACCTTCAATTGAAACTTAAAAATATGTTTTTTTATTGCATTCTGTAAGGCCTCACATATCCCAATAGGCAACGGTCCGGTTTTCGTGCGATCCGGCAAAATGCTACCATTCTCGCACATGTATTTTGATCAAATTTGCTTTTTTCTTCTTTTATCATGCCTTGGCGTTCAATTTGACAATTCTTCGCCTCGCTGTCTACTGATTTGCATTCAATTTTAATACCTTAAGCGCTTCTGTAATAGTGGCTGCAGCGCTACTGCTACTAAGTTCATAAGATATCGACCGTAATATTTTTTGGCAGACTGCCTTTGTCCTTGATAACATTTTAGGCTATCGGGCATGTTCTGCAAATCGTTCGATTACAAATCGGTGCGAATTACAAAATCTATTTCGGAAGATTTATAACCCAGAGGTAAAAATTTGGCACCAAATCGAGGGATATAACGTAAACGATATGTTTCTAGAAGTTTTCATTTGAAAAATTTAATACTTTGATTACAAATACACAACAATACTTTGCAAATCGCACCGATTTGAAATCGTACGATTTGCAGAACATGCCTGAATATTTTTTGTCAGTCTTAACATTTTCATGTGGCGAACTCCACAATTTTTTGCCGCTTTTCATACGGTCCCGCCTTTTCGCAGTAAATATATTATTTATATTTATGTTTCCCGATTAACCATATTATTTACTGATAATCACTTCTTGAATAAATTACAATACAGAAAAAAGTCATCTGACTTTCAACTAATGAAAAGATAACTGTAAAATGCAAAACTGAGAGTAAGTGCAAAACTGTAACATTTGCCTTAATTTAAATTTTTGCCTGCTGGTTTTATTATTGTTGTTGGATTGACTTCCTTTGTGAGAGAGAGAGAGTAGGGGTGTACCAATAAGAATATACAACAAAAGTATGAAAGCCGTTAGAACTTGGAAAGATAGCGGTGGCTGAAATAAAAAGTGTTACACCATGTTACATTTTGCTCGTCACTGTATATCATATATCGTCACCTGAAATGCAAAAAAGACGTAACAAATGCTGAAATGAGTAGTCCACTTGCAAACAGCGTTATGTGATTTTATAATAGTAAGCCATAAATTAAAAAAAACGTCTACAACAACAGTAACATCCAAATTGTGTATTTCTTTTTATTATCTGAAAATTTGGATAAATAAGAGCCTATTAACATTAAAAAACTAAATCGCAGCGTGGTAGTTTTTGCAAATTTTATATATAGAAATTAAATATAGCGAGTTTTGAAACAGTAAGTTTTATATAGTCAGCTTTCTTAAGCTTTTCGCGTTCTATCTTCCATGAAGGTTGGACTGCTTCTTTTTTAAGACGTCTTTCACTAGGCGATGGAAGATGGAGTGTTTTGAACTTGTATAAATACATACAATAAATATTAGCGACTTTTAAAAGTGTATATATATATACAGTAAGTATTATAGCGACTTTTGCTAGAGTAGCTAACATTTGATGATATTTTTACCTCGCTTTTATTAGCTCGGGATGTAACTATGTAATATTGATGCGCCTAAAAGATGCAGCTATTTCCATTCTCAAGTTACCTACCTGATGACAGTACCAATGGGAATTGCTGTCAACTTCCACTCTTAAAGTAACCTGGTAACAGTACGAATGGAAATTTTAGTAGCGAGGTTTTAGTTTTGTAAGCTATAATTTTATTTACAGAATATATAAGGATTTGGCACTGTATTGTTAGTCGTTAACCAACAAAAAGTAAAAATCGAAAAAAATTTACATAGCGCACTTTGCAAGTGGACTACTCAAATGCAAAAAGTCGTAGCTGAAAAAAATTCGAAAAATTCACTTTTTAGGTTTGTTCCACACGAGCCCGCGGGTGCCCAAAACAGCCCAGAAAGCGTTCCTCACGCTAGAAAAATGGGTAATAGAGAGCGAATACGATCGTAAATGTCTTCTTCTTCGTGTCCGAAACAGCCCGGACTTTTTCCCCGGGCAGAAATGTGCAAGAAGTCAATTGGATATAACAGCTGTTGTTCGTTTACATCCGATAGCAAATTTTGTAAAATACAAAAATGGAAAATATCACTAAAAGTTCAGAAATGTAGGTATTTGCTAATTTTATTAGCTATATAAGATGAGTACACATAAAATCATTGTTTAGAACTGATTTGTTGATTCTGGGCATGAAAAGAGTTTTTTTGCGTTCCTCACTTTTGGCACGGGTTGACAAATTTTTGACACTTGTGAGAGAGTAACCTACTTTTACGCTCTAATTACCGAAACAGCACGGAAAGCGTGTGGAACCACGCGCTTGATTGATATGATGGATTTCATCGTATTACATCTTAATAGTCACGACTTTTAGTTAATCTATTTAGGTAAAACAAAAATTAATTAAAACAAATATAATAACTACGCTTAGTTCTGAAACTTAAACAATGCAAAGCAACCCAATTTTTCGAAACAAAAAAAATTTACACTAAGTTGAAAATGATTAACTGGTTAAAATGTTAACTATTTAACTATTTAATACAAATAAGTATAAAATTTAGGAGCATTCGGTATCTGGCATAGCTCTAAGCCTTCTATTCATAGAATGAACTTAGTTCCGAGTAATATTTTGGGGTATATTTTCCCATAGGTCTCTTTTGCTCCTGATTTGACGCTCGCGAAATTTGATTCCATGTAAACCCACAGATGCTCTATTGGGTTCAGCTCAGCGCTCTGGGAGGATGTGGAAGCAACTTTTTTACATTGTACACGAGGCTTTTCCTTACTATTAGCGGCGAATGTTTTGGATCATTATTCTGTATAAGGCAAAAATTTTAGTATATATTTAATTTGGCAGCTGACTGTCCTAAGTA